CCTGACTAGGAATTGAGCTATGACCTTATGGTTCACAGGTCAATGCTCAACCACTGAGTAACACCAGCCTGGCGAGGCTATGTTTTTTCCAATCGTTTTTGTTTTTCAGATAGGCTAATTTGTGTTGATTTATCTTCAAGTTAACTGACACTTTCTTCTGTCATTGCCAATCTCTTAAGCTTATCCAATGATTTTTAAAGTTCGGATACCATATTTTTTGTTCCAGATTTTTTTGTGTATAGTCTCTTCCTCTCTGCTGAGACATCTTATCTTTTAATTCTTTACAAGCATATTTTCCCCTCTGCCCTAAGCACAGAAATAAGCTGCTTTAAAGTCCTTGTCTGCTAATTTCAACATCTGAGTCATCTTGGGATTGGTTTCCAGCAATTGCTTTTCCTCTTGAGTATAAGTCACATTTTTCTGTTTTTTCCCCCCATATGTTTAGTTTATGATTGAATACAAGACTTCGTAAATGGGTATGTTATACAGATTCTGAATTGTTTCATTCCACTAGAGTATTGATTTTTCATTTTAGCAGGCAGTTAATTTATCTAAAACCAAATTCTAAATTCTATTTCCTCTGCATTGGGTAGTAGCTGCATTTTCCATTCAGTTATTTTAGCCCTCCCCAGGGTGCTTGGAATCTATCCTATGCATGTGGAGCTTGAGTCAGCCAGAGATGTGGGCAGATTTATGTAAAGAATTAGGACTCCTCCTCTGTGGTTCTCTTCTTTCTGGGATATTCTTCTCACCTCTCAGTTGCTATAGTCACCCGAACTCAGTTCTCTCATTGCACAACCAATAAGACTGTAAGTTTCTATCCAAATTTTACCTACTCCCATCACAGCATCTGCAGCCTGCCCATGGGTGAAAAGCCATAAAAAAAACACACAGGAAAACCACTCTTCAAATTGACCACTCTTCTTTTCTCTGTGCTATATTTGAAACAGCCCTAGAACTTGGAATATTAAGGCCTGAATTAAAATCCTAGCCTCGCCACTTTTTAGCTATGTTGACTTTGCATATGTCAGTTCTCAGACACTATTTCCTCATACTAAAACGTGGTTAAAATGTCTGCTTCATGGGATTAAGATCAAATGAGATAATACATGAGATAAGGAAACAGGCTCAGAGGGGCTATATGATGTCCTATCAAGTAACAGGAGTAATTGGTTACCCCAGCTCTGTCTGTGCTTTTTCTGCTAAAACCATATTACTTTCATCTTTCTAAAGACCACCCTTCACCTTTCCCTCCCAAAGACACCTTCAAGTATCTCTATGATCTAATTATCAATTTGGGCACCAAGAATACAGTAAGTCAAAATCCCTGCCCTCAAGAAGTTCTAAGTACCACTCTTATCTTCTAAGTGTTGACTGACCTCCAGTCTATGTCTGCTTTTGGTCACTCTCCAGTGCCTTTAGGTAGTTATTTCGTTATAGCTTTTCCGGTCTGTAATTGTTAACTGTAGGAGGTGCTAATCTAATACAACCTATTCTGCTAATACCAGAAGCAGAGCTGCTATCCATGGATTTTTGGTTTTACTATCTAGTTGCTCAGTCTGTTTTTATGCCATAATATTTGGAGAGGTTCAAAACCTACACTTCTCCACTGCCCCAATCCTCCCAGAATCATCGGCTATTTATTTTACTAGTAAGTGAAATAAAATACTGCCAAAGTCTTCATGTTACTCAGAATCTTTATCCAGATTACTTCTGCTCCTAAAGGACAGTGATATTTGGTCAGAATTTCATTGCTGGGGAAATAAGGAACCATACTGTAACTACTTTCCTCCCAGCCCTTCATACCTGATGTTGTCCTGGCTACTCCCTGATCTGGTAAAGCTCCCAACTTCCGATGCTGATCATACCAGTCATTCACTGTCATGGTTGCCAGACTTGGATAACCAGCTCCAAATACTCTGCAAAAACCACATTGTATTTAGAACACTAAACATAAATAGCACTATTAAAAAGTCTCTTCTCTTTAGTGGCAAAGCCTATGTCTGTTTTATCCTCCCTCCCCTAACCAGGCATCTTCTGAGGAGTTGTGTAAACTCCTGTGAGGATATGTAAAAAGAGGCACCAGGAAGGGGCATTAAAGTATTTTCATGAGATGATAAATAGCCCAGGATAATCTCCCAATAAGCAATTCCAGAGGCCAATGCCCCACAGAGCAGCGATGATACTGTGAAAAGGGTACTTATAGTTGGTGAGTCTAAAAGGTACGCAGAGGAAGGAGACTCTCCCGCCACCCTCTGGAAAAGCATCTCAAGAACTCAGATAGGCAAACATGTCGTTTTGAGAACTGTAGCTGAAGGCAATGGGAAAAAATTTTAAAGTGTACAATTCTCCATTTGATTCCTTTCTTCTTTGTTTTTAATTAATTAACAGATTATTTTTATTGGTTTCCTTTTGAGATCTTTTTAAGCTCAGGTTTGTGAGGGAAATGTCTGCTGAAGGCCGAAGACAGAGAAATTATTAGAAGAGATAATATCCCTTTGATGAAAGAACAGCCTCCAAGGCAAAGTCATGCCCTCTTAATAATGCCCATTCTGCTTGGCACCATGCACTGCAAATGAACCACAAAAGCAAGGGGCTTGCAAAGGCACCCTACTTTTTAGTACTACCTACTTGGCTTGGGCCGCATCCCGAGTGAGAATAAAGGGTTTCATTGGAGGCCTGGACGGACGAGATGAATGAGAAGTTGATGCCTAAAAAGGAAATTAACTATCAGAAGTGTATTTGCCTTTGCCCATCCCACTGTGCAGCCTCTTAGGTCTTCAGGTGCTCGAAAAGCACTGGATTCAAAATTCAGTTACTCCCTCCATATCAGTCTCTGAGACATATCAGCAGATATTAATGATGGAGGTTGCTTAGCTCTCTTGAGGACACCCGAGTACCTTGCTGAAGAGAGAGAAAGAGAAAGCTCACTCAGGAATCCTCTCACCACAAGTAAAAAATTATTTGGCTTTAAAATGCCCCCCCTCCAAAGGAGATGCCAAAGGCTTCTTCCATGATCCATCTTAATCCCTTGAGATAAATTTTAAGTCCCTTTCCTTAGCCTGGCCTTTAGTGCTAAAGTTCAATTATGACCCTGTAATTATGCTATTAACTGTCAAGAACCCCTTAGGGTACTTTAGAAGTGGATGTCCCTAAATGCAAGGGGGAGAATGGGTTAGCAGTTTTCATATATAGGTGTATAGAAATGTTTCAAGGAACCCTGGCTATCCAGGCGCACAAAGAATCAAAATCTGGTCAATGAAAAGGTGTTCACTTGGTTCAAGCTCCATCACTCCCAGAGACAATCTCAATACCAAATGAGAGAGCATGAGAAAAGAAAAAAACAGCTCTAACCGGGTTGGTTCGGTGGATAGAGCGTTGGCCTGTGGACTGAAGGGTCCCACGTTCGATTTTGGTCAAGGGCATGTACCTTGGTTGTGGGCACATCCCCAGTAGGAGGCAGCTGATCAATGTTTCTCTCTCATCGATGTTTCTAACTCTCTATCCTTCTCCCTTCCTCTCTGTAAAAAATCAATAAATAGCCCTGACCAGTTTGGCTCAGTGGATAGAGCGTCGGCCTGCAGACTCAAGGGTCCTGGGTTTGATTCCAGTCAAGGGCACATGCCTGGGTTGTGGGCTCAGTCCCCAGTAGGGGGCGTGCAGGAGGCAGCTGATCAATGATTTCCTTTCCCTTCCTATCTGAAATCAATAAAAATATATTTTAGAAAATCAATAAAATAAATTTTAAAAAGAAAAAAACAGCAGCAAAGAAAGGGTCAGGGGAGGACCCAGAAGAGTCCAGCCTCATACTGTTTAAAACCACTCTAGATGTGCTCAAGGAGCCTCAAGATTGTTCATTCTTTAATCCTTTAACATGAGGAACTAGGTTGATGTTACCCTGAGGCAAAAGCTCCTGGGCTAATTAGTACAAATCAAAACCTCAGGAGGTTTCCCTGAGGACTTAAATAAATGCCTGTGACCAGCTGATAAATTCAACTCAATTCCTCTTATATCAGAACCAAAAAGTAAGTAGCAGCAGAGCCTAATCTTTTGAAGCAGCAGCTCCAAAACAGGGTCATGATGTTCAAAAACAGCCAAAGTTGTAGGACACCAGGTGTTCTTCACCAGTATGCCCAACGTTTTGCTGTGTCTCATACTAGGGGATCTAAAGGCGTGAGTGTGCATCACTATGTATGGTTAAACTGGAATTCATCTTCTTTCTACTCATCTCTCTCTCTCTCTCCAGTTCCACTTTTCTTCTCTATTCCCATCCTATTCCTCTTTTCCTTTATTATAGTCAAGCAGATTTTAAAAGCCTATCTCCCTATGCCTCCTTCAGCAGTTATGACTTCCCCTAGCCAAAACCAACTTTTACTTCAGGGAAATCTCCCTCCCCCGATGCATGTCACCAAATTACAAATGACTAAAAGTGTGTTACAGGTTAGTAGGCACTGGGGAACGCAACTGTAAACCAGAGAGAAAGCTACCCTAGTGAACCTTCAGCCTTCTTCCATTGAACTTAATAAGAACAATGATTTCATGAAGACTCAAAAGCATTTAAATCTGATTATTGTCCTATAGAACATTCAAATCTCTGATATGAATTATATAGCAGTGAACAGACTTACCTCTTTTGAAGAGTCTTTTCCTCTCAGGATATCCATCTCCTGGTCAATGCTCTCAATCTCTTCTAAGCAGATACCAATCCACCTTCGAAGGTGAAGGAGGTAATACTCACGAACATGCTCATCATCTGCTTCACCACTTTCGACAGCAGATTTCATTTCAGACAACCTACGCTCCATCTCCTTCTTCTGCTTGTATCTGTTCCACAGGAAAGCATTACCCGTGAACTTAAAAATAAAGAGGTATTCCTTCAAAAGAAGGCCACAGTAAGATTTTATCTTTACAGGTGACCAGGAAGTCAGCACGCCAATTTCCACTTTGGCAACAGTATAGATTCTGTACTTCAGAACTTGCCACCAAAGCAGTTCTCTCAAGACTACAAGGCAAGGAAGGGATCAGCCGCAGCTGAGAAATACATCTGAAGCCAGAAAAGTACAGACATAACCTGATTTGAGCAACTCCTCATCCTCTTTAGAGATGGAGTGCCTTAGTCATTTTATATCAACCTTTACTAGGTTGGGTGTTTAGTACCACAAAATGTCCATTTGGGAATTAGAACTTCAAAGAATCATAGAATCTTAGGGGTCATTTACCTGCCGCTGATGTAGGAATTCCTTATGAAACAGCCTAAAAAATGATCTTTTCTTTTCTGCTGAGCAAAATATTCCTAGCTCTTCTGATGCATATTAATATAAAGTCTCATAACCACCTTGCCTACCTTTCTCAGGATGCATTCTAGTATCTCATCTATCATTCATTTAACAAATATTTACTGAGTACCTATTATATGACAGGCACTGTTCTCAGTGCTGGAGATACAGCTGTGTATACAAGTCCTTACTCTTCTGAAGCTTTCGTTCTAGTGGGAGAAGACAAAAAGAAACAGATGAGTCAGGTGGTGATAAGTGCTATGAAGAAGCAAAAACCAAGGTAGAATGGATAGACCGATGGTGTGAAGACAGTGGTGCTATTATATACAAGATGATCAGGAAAGACCTCTCTGAAGAAGTGACATTTGAGCAAAGATTTCAAAGAAATTGGTAAGCAAGCCATGTCAATATCTGGAAGGGTATTCTTTTTTTTTTTACAGGAGACAATTAAGTTTTAATAGATGTGCATGGGGAACTCACATTAAGTGTGTAAATTTCAAAGACAGTGAGGCAACATTGGGTATATAACATTTTTGGACAAAGAAGAAAGGAGTGGGGATGGGGTATTAGATTTCAGAAGTGAGAATGGGTGATTTACTGGTAGTTGAGGAAGAGTAGAACATGCATGGCATGGCAAGGAAGTCCTTGCTAGGTGACTCAGAGACAATGGGACACAGAGGATATCTAGCTAACAGGTGCCTGCCGGAAGCCCTCTCATTTACCAGACTTAATTCAAATAGGGCTAAAGCTGCATCCTAGGATCTCTGTCTGAATCTCTTGGGCAGGAAAGAGCGGGGGGATCAAAGGTTCTAAGTCTTGTTTCTTAATAAACAGCTTAAAATCAATATCCCAAAAAGGCAGCTTCAGGGAGGCAAAACTTGGGTTCCTTCTGAGTATTTGTTCTAAGGGGGAAAAGTAAATCAGAAGGTCCTGGGTGGAAGAGTAACTGGCCTGACATGTTTGAGAAACAGCAAGGAGGCCAGTGCACTAGTATAAAGTGAAGAATGACAGAAAATGAGGTCAGATATACAGCCAGGGCCATAATTTATAGAACCCTGTAGGAAATAACAACCAACATATCAAATTCCATGGTATTTTGAGTGAGATGCAAAAGCCACTGAAGGCTTTTGGATAGAATACATGACAGGAATAGGGTGACATGAAAACTCTTTTATATGGACCACTCTTGCTGTGTGTGGACTCTAGACTAGCGGTCGCCAACCTTTCGGAACTCACAGACCACCAGTGGTCCGCGGACCACCGGTTGGCAACCGTTGCTCTAGACCAGTGGTTCTCAACCTTCCTAATGCCGCGACCCTTTAATACAGTTCCTCATGTTGTAGTGACCCCCAATTTCACTGTTACAAATTGAACATAATTAAAGCATAGTGATTAATCACAAAACAATATGTAATTATATATGTTTTCTGATGGATTTAGGCGACCCCTGTGAAAGGGTCGTTCGACCCCCAAAGGGGTCACGACCCACAGGTTGAGAACCGCTGCTCTAGACCATGGGGGCGGGAACAAAGGGTGGAAGCAGAGAAATCAAGTAAGAGGACATTGCCAAAATCCAGGTGAAAGATAGTGATTTGCAATAGGGAGGCAGTGAGATATGGATATATTTAAAATATAAAACAGGACTTGCTAATTTTTGAACGTAAGGGCTTGAGAGAAAGAGGAGTCAAGAAAAAATTCCATGGTTTCCAAAAGAAGTATCCTGAAATATCCAAGTCTGAAACCCCACTCTAGCCCTCCAGAATCAGATGCTCCTCTGGAGGTGTTCACCCAAATCTGCAGTTCTTAACCTGAGGTCCTAGACCAGGGGTGGGCAAACTTTTTGACTCGAGGGCCACAATGGGTTCTTAAACTGGACCGGAGGGCCGGAACAAAAGCATGGATGGAGTGTTTGTGTGAACTAATATAAATTCAAAGTAAACATCATTACATAAAAGGGTACGGTCTCTTTTTTTTTTAGTTTTATTCATTTCAAACGGGCCGGATCTGGCCCGTGGGCCGTAGTTTGCCCACGGCTGTCCTAGACAGAGGGTTTTTTTGGGGGGGCAGTGGTCCTTGAACACCCTAAAATTTTATACAGAATTCTACAGATATGTACTTTTCTTATAATGGTAAGCCATTACATGAAAACACTCCCTTATCACCCTAGGAACCCCAATGCCTATCACCCTTTGGCCTCTGGACAACTTTCACTGTTCCCTTTTCCAGTTCCCAAACTGCTGAAGAGAGCTAATGAATTATAAATTTGTGACCACTTTGAGTGGTCACTTTTGCTTAACTATCCTTTTGTTTATCTTTTGTGGATCCCATGCCACTATCACACCAGGTGGCCTTCAATTCAACTTCCCCTTTTACCTTAAAATCTCTTGCCCAGCCAGCGTGGCTCAGTGGTTGAGGATCGACCCCATGAACCAGGAGATCATGTTTTGATTCCAGGTCAGGGCACATGCCTGGGCCGCAGGCTCGATCCCCAGTGGGGGCTATGCAGGAGGCAGCCAATCAGTGATTCTCTCTCATCATTGATGTTTCTATCTCTATCTCTCTCTCCCTCCCCCTTCCTCTCTGAGATCAATATAAACATAGTTTAAAAAAAATCTCTGTAGCTTCACCTTTCCTCTTGTCCATAAGGGGCTAATGCTATCTTTAGGAGCCAAGGCCATCTCTTTACCATTCCACTCTTGCTACAAATCCCACCCACATTCTTCCAGGCCTCAGTCTATCAATTACCCTCTGTCATTAGCAGTAACAATTTTTTCACTCTGCTGGTGCCTTTACCCTTTCCTAGACACAACTTCCAAAACATATTCTATCTCTTTGTTCTATGCTATAGTGGAAATAGTACCAGAACTGGGAATTTGAAAACCTAAGTTTAAATCCTAGCCTGCACTTACTAGCTATGTAACTTGGATATGTCAATTCTCAGAGCCAAATTCCTTATCTCTAACATATCTACACTAAGACAAACATGCAAATTGACCGTACCTTTGCTACGCCTTAAGCCACACCCACCAGCCAATCAGAGCGACTATATGCAAATTAACCCAACCAAGATGGCGGCCAGCAGCCATGGAGCTGGAGCAAGCAGGAGGCTTGGTTGCCCCTGGCGATGGAGGAAGCCAAGCTTCCCGCCCCGCCCTGGCCAGCTCTGAGCTCCACTCAAGGCTACAAAGTTTCAATTATAGAAGGTAAATAAATCCCAGAATAAAAAAAGAAAAAAAAAAGAGGCTGGGAGCTTCCATCGCGGGGGGGGGGGAGGCAGGCTTGGCCAGCCTGAAAACGGCCCTCAGCCCCTCACCCAGACTGGCCAGACACCCCAGTGGGGCCCCCCCAACCTAAAGGGGGTGTGGCCAGCCTGCAAACAGCCATCAGCCCCTCACCCAGGCTGGGCAGGCACCCCAGTGGGACCCCCCACCCTGAAGGGGGTGTGACCAGCTGCAAACAGCCATCAGCCCCCTCACCCAGGCTGGCCAGGCACCCCAGCGGAACCCCCACCCCAGATCCGGAACACCCTTCACAGCAAATCAGCAGGCCCCACCCATGCACCAGGGCTCTATCCTATATAGTAAAAGGGTAATATGCAAACTGACCCTAACAGCAGAACGACTGGGAATGACTGGTCACTATGACACACACTGACCACCAAGAGGCAGACGCTCAATGCAGGAGCTGCCCCCTGGTGGTCAGTGCGTTTCCACAGGGGGAGCTCTGCTCAGCCACAAGCCAGGCTGACGGGCTGCCAGCACAGGGGGGGGGGGCGGGGAGCCTCTTCCTGCCTCCCTCAGCAGCGCTAAAGGATGTCCCGACTGCGGGTTAAGGCCTGCTCCCCCATTGGCAAGGGGACCTTCCCCCCAAGGGGTTCCTGGGCTGCCAAAAGGGAAGGAATAACTTGCCAGCTTAAGGCAAGTCCCCCCCGGGAGGCAGGCTTAAGCCAGCCGGGGGGGCAATCCCCTTAGGGGGCCCCCAGAATGGCGAAGAGGCCACGGGTCGGGCTGGAGGGACCCCCCCC